CCGCCACAATATATTTATATATTATATATTTTTATTCTGTTATATTTATATATTTATTTAAGTGGTTGTTGAACAACAATTTGTAACGATTGCTCCTTTATTAATACACTCTTTTATTTGTTTGCGTGTTTTATGGTGAAATATTTTTTTATTTAAAAGTTCACAAAATTCTAAATCGACTTTTGACAATCGAAAAGTAATAAGAATAATAAAAATCATATTATACGTGTATTATTAGAATTAGAATTCTGTATCCGTGTGATTCAAAAAGTGAAAAAGTATTAATTGAAATATTTATTACCAAAGAAGCTTGTCTTCTTATTTTCTATTTCTGTCTCTATTTCTTTTTTGAGTGAATCTATCGTTGCAACTTACATGGCTAATTTGTATAGTCGCGTGTAATTGATCAAGGCTGACAGCAAGAAAGCTGCAAGCACAGCTTAATGTATCGATCTCTTACAGATACATCAAGTTATTACTTTAAGAGATAAAATACGATTAATATTGCATTAACCTGTAAAACACCTTTATTTTTCACTCACAGGTAATACACTCATGATTAATATGCAATTAGACTACTGCAAACATTTGCATTCGTACATTCGTTATCTGTCGTAGTTTTCTTTATTTTTTCAATGAATATGTGTAACGTGTCGAGGGTAGTACGAACCTCTAGGGCTGTTCATGCATGGCACTTTTGCAATTCCTACATTAATTTAATGGAATGGATAAAATGTACTAATTAATACACGTCATCTGGATGCATTATGAAACTGAATCAGTCGTGTTAAACATTTTTATGAAAATGTTTCTATTTTTAGTGCTGAATTGCACATTTTACACAAGTTTGTTGTAAATCTTGATTATGATGAAAACTTTAGTCCGACACTTTTAGATTTGACAATTGTAGATTTCTTTTACTGTTAATTCTTCTTACTTATTAATTGACGTGTCATATTTTTGTTATGCAATCATCAAATAATTAAAGTAAGGAGAACGCATTTAAGGTACTGTCTCTCTCCATAATTCATCAATAGATTTTTAAACAAAAAAATCAACACTTTTCGTACAATAATCACACCAATCCATCAATTAACAAACTCAACACTGTTACTTGTCGAAAAATGTTCTACTGTGTCTAGCCCGAAACGTGCGTGGAAACGAAGAAAAACGAAACTTGGTCAAACCAAATGACAAACATCATAACGATGCTCATTTTTCCGTGTTAACCGGTGATCCCAGGCCCAGCCTGTGCTATAAACTCGCCGACGATGCGAGCAGTCGGTCGTTACCGCAGCGACAATGTTACGCGACGAGTGCCATTAAAAGCGTCGCGGTTGAATCCGTAGTTAGTTCTCAACCCAGTTAGAAAGAAAGAGGGAAGAAGAAAGTAGAGTAAAAGCAGAGATGCCAGTCCCCGTTTCTTTCCTGTATCGCGTGCACAATGAAAATAACTTGGCATTACAAGCGACGGCTCGTTATACGCGACGCGGTACGCTCGATGCCCGAGCGGATTTCTTCGGGTCGAACGGACGATGTGGCTCGTTAAAGGCCGTGCCGGTATCATTATTCTGGAATTTTCCACAGAAACGCACCGACTGAGATAGCTGACTACTCTATGTATCGTCAAGAGTGTCGTGACCAGTGGTTAGATAGCGACCTGTTTTCGAAAAGGTTTGAAACTCCATGCTTCATGACGCGCCATCGAGATTAGAAAATTGGCCCTACAATTTTCTTTTGTAAAATCTCTGCTCTACTATGTAAAAAGAGTCGCAGTGGTTTCTTGGAAGAAACGGAAAAAGGAGCTTCTTTAGTGCACGTGCCTTTGACGATTATCGAAGAATTCTCTTTAGGATAATTAAAATACTCTCCTAAAGGAGTTTAGTGGGGCTTGGAAATTGGGATAGTGAAAATTACATTTCTTAGAATTTTTCAGGATATTATGTGATGATTTTTTGGGTATCTTGTAATTTGACTGATTACTATTTTCTATGGTGAGTTTCTGGATACTTTTTGATTTGACAGATTGATGTTTCCGTCTATTATAAATATATCAATTTCTATTTTCCTTTATCGTGAATGAGGCACACATACATCGTGCGACATACTAGCTCTATTTATTTTCTTTACACAAGAAATAATGCGCTTTTAATTTCTTTGGGGAAATTACATCTTACGGTAGTGGTTTTCATTATTCAAAGAGCTTCCTAGATAGTTTCCCCTGACGAGTGTTGCTGTTTCATAACCTACTTTAGACACATCAACCTGTTTCACGTTATTATTTACTTACTTTTTCTAACTTTTTAATTTTCAGATTCATACTTTGACTAGTCTGCTTCCTTTTATGTAATGATTGGTTATTATGTATTATCTTCTCACATTTGTATACTATGGAGATGATAAGGAGGGCAATGCTCCCTGTCGCTCACCATCACTCAATGTTACACTGTTTTGTTTGTATATGTAACACATTTGACCAATACGTGTCCTTAACTTTACGATTGTGTCGAGTCTGTCAAAAATAACCAATCAGATCCGCATTCCTTCCATAAAGATTTCTTTCCATTTCTGTACTATTCATTTGAGTAATAAAACTTTGGAACCATACTTGTGCCAAAAATGTCTACATGTCTAAGTAAAAATGATCTTCAGACAATTTTGAGAATGTTAAGGTGTTTAAATAATATTGTGAAATAACGAAAGTATCTGTAAAAATATGATAGCATCACTTCGGCGCAAAGTTTAAAATATACATATATGTATGTTTATATTGCAGCAAAAGAGTAGAAATAAAATAATTACTCTAAGCAAATTCATCCAAAAATTTTCTCATCCGATTTATTCAAGATTATTTTCGCCAATTAATTTGTATACTTACTGAAGAGTCATACTGTACAATTAAAAAATGAAAGCTAACTAAATATGTATTTGTTTCCCTCATTAAATATTATAACGAATTTTTTGTTTTGAATATCTTATATACCTTTCTACATCATATGTGCATTATGTTCATTTTTACATTTCAAATTTCCTATAAATACACAAATATGTGTAATTTAATAATCTCCGAGCGGATGAAACAGGCACTAAGGAAACAAAGCGTTTCTATATTACGTACTCGAAAATTGGTGAATTTCAAGTATTATAGGCTAGCATTGGCGGTACCTCCGAATGGAATACAACCGATCATTATTCACTTGCCAACGGTCCAAACAATGGCTATTAAGCAAGTCCTTTCGTTCAGACTGACTGGCCATTAAGTACAGAAACGAGTCATCCCGAGTGAAAAGCCATCAGAAGAACTTCCCGCGAGTAGGCAGCTCCGCGTCAATCGTTCTCAAGCTTTTTGGGTCAATCGACGCTGCTGACATGGACTTCCGACTTGTTTGTGAATGTTCTGTTGTTTGCTCATCAGGCTTTGCCATATTTAATCTTTCATGTCCTGCTGCGGTTATCTTTCACAAAATCTATCTTTCTTTTATTTGATTTTCCCTTTTTTCTTGAAAGAAAATTTATTCAAACTTCGTAGAAATGTTGTGATACATAGAACATTCTTTGAATTGGAGTTTCATCTATATATGTAATTTTTAGTATCATATTGTGTCAATATTTAAATTGATAGATTTACTAATATTAAATGAATGTATGTATTAATAGTAAATGTTAGTTCTGTACAAGATGAAACGACATAAATAATGTTTAGTTTCCACTAATTATATACATATATACATATATACATATATACATATGAGAAACAATATATATGTATATATACATATATATTGTTTCTCACAAAATTTCTGCTTCGCGTATATGTTTTATCCTATCTGAAAGTATTCTGAAATATCAATACAGTATTTTAACTTCTGTTATTATTATCCAATTTTCACAGAAGTAATCATTTCAGATAAAAAAGAATTACACGATTACCAAACTGGATCGAAAAATGCTTGGTAAAAAGTGACAGAAGTTCATAAAATAGCAAGTAAACGAATAAATTTTTTCGTGTCAAATAATACGAATTAATGCGTCTCAGATGTGAAATTGTTTGTAAAAATTGGTGAATGGTGGACCCGAGGCTGTGTTTGTTCGCGGTTCAAATTAAATTGGTTGCTTCCGTCATTCGGTTGTTTTCATTCGTACATTAAAAATACACGGTGATTTATTACGTACGGCGAACAGTTTTCCAGGGCAAACCGGTTTCATAAAAGATCACAGAGAACATGACGTTCCGCGCAAAACAAATGTTCCGCTCCATTTGTCGCACGTGAAAAATATCGAAATTCGTCCCAAATATTCCCAATGAGCGTGTTATAACGTTCGACTATCGATTTTATACTCTGCAAATAACCTATCAAATATATATATACAGGAAATTGAACTCAAAAATTTGTCTGGAATTTATGTACATTAAATAATCGCTAATACTGTTATGTTAATGTGTTTATAGTTCATTAGTAAATTTATTAATACAATACAGTGGTTGTAATATATAGAAATAGATTTTAATTTGTCTTATAATATTTAATCTGTCTTAATAAATTATTCTAAAGTTAATGAACGAGAAAGGAATAATATTTATAATAATTAATTTATATTGCTGGATATTGGAAAGGGCTAATAATAATTGTTTCCGTAATTGTTTCGTAATTTCACAAATTTTAATTAATTAAATGATTAAATGATAAAGAACGTTCGATATTGTTTTGCGTTGTAATGACGATAAATATTTTAAAGATGGAAATTGAGAATTAAATGCTTTAATTGATCGAAGGATCATTTTGTTATTAAAAGGATTCAAAATCCTTGAAAAGGTTCCATTTCTTTTGAATCCAGCTGGAGGACGAATTATTTAGTACAAATTATTTTAGTATATATAATAATACGTATTTATCAATTGCAAATGATAATTAATTCAGAAATTTTAAATTCATTTTCTCCTTTCTAGTAGAATAATGACATCCAAAATATAGCTTTCCTAAAAGTACCTCTATTATATCACAAAAAATCACATTTTAAAACCTCGAAGTAACACTACAATAATCACAAATATTCTGACATGAATTTAAAGTTACATAAACTTTTTTATTAAAAAGAACGTGCGTTAACATTATCGTAATAATTAACATATTCATAGAAGAATAATCAGACTTACCACACGTGTAGACAACTTTCAAATACGTTCTGCTTTCCGGATTGCAAGGCTCACCGAACGTCGAACTGTTTGCCACCACCGAGCAGCGACGTTTCCCATGGCACAAATTCATCACGGTTTCCGTCGCGTACGATGCCATACAAGCTGTAACCAGACAGAATTGATCTATTCAGTACGTTCGCTCGTAGCTTCATAGACGAGAAAAAAAAAGAGCTAGTTTCCCAGCTTACCAGAAATTGCGCGGATCGTTCGTCGAATGAAAGCTGAATACCGGATTAAAGGTCGACTGTGACTACTTCAGAGCGCTTAATGGAAATGTCAACTTCATCAATCTACGGTTAATAATCCGACGCTTGACATGAATCCCGCATAACGCTCATATGAATATAAAGCACCATTTTATTCTCTTTAGTTCACTTTAAACCGCATTTCTCAATTGTTTTAGTTCTTTTTCAAATTGCTTTAGTTTTCTTTTTATTTTCAAATTATTTTAGTTCTTTTTCAAATTCTTTTTGTTCCGAGAGCATGCGTCATCCGTGTCGTTTGTTATTTTATTAAACGAAAAGAAATCCTAAACTAAATCAGAAAAACAAACATTCATGTATCAATCATGAAATATCATCAAAAGGTTCCTAAAATTTTTCCAATCATTTTTGGAAAAATTTCCAAAGTTCCAATTTAGCTAACCTTCCTCTCTGAAATCTCAAAGTGTATCAGAGTCAAAAGTCACTTCTGCATGTCACCGTCACGGTAGGTACCTTTGTGAGAACGACATGATAGAGCAGGACGATGTGTCACATGGCCAAGAAACACGCAGATTGAAACAATATCGCGAGTGACAGTATCGTAGATAACCATTCGGGAAACGACCATTACATGTAGTTCATTGTTACGTGTGGGCGAAGCCGAAGAACAAGGAAAGAAACCTTTGAATTTGTTACAATATCCTGCCAATCGTAGGAAGAGTTCAATTGATTCGAAAATTTATTTGATAAGGAACGTTCATAGGGAGGTTCGTACTGAATCTAGTCTAATCCTAGAAGTTTTAATAAAAGCCCTTGTCAGAGAAATATCATGGAATGGAAATTAAATTTATAGTTACTGGAGTTTTAGTTATAAAGTTTCTTGTTTCGTTAAAGTATTAGTTAATGTATTATGATTGTAATTTCTGATGATAAAAATGATAATTTCATCTATTTATTCTTGACGTTTAATGCACTCACTGATGATTATGATAAATGACAGAAATGAAAGATTGATGATTCTACATTGGAATATGTTAAATTACGACTAGAGAATTAAAATTGCAATAATCAGAAACATCCGTAGAAGCATTCATAGACTAACGAGGTCACGAAAGGTCAAAATCAACGTATCAGATAAAAAAACTTTTGCAGGGAGTGATCCGTAGCCAATGGCATTTCAGTGTTTTCGGAGCTGTTATCCTCACGAGGATGCCGTCTGGACATCGTCACAAAGGGGTTGGTAGCGACCCGACCTCTGCTCCATTTTCTCGTAAAGTCCGTCACGAATTGCGGCACTTTGAATCGATTCGTCCGGCTATTGAATGTAAATGTGCCGTTTCATGGATCTTTATTTTAACGTCATGTTCCATGTAAAGTAACTTCATGAAAAGAAAGGACATCTGTTTCTTAGATTTTTAGGAACATAGAATTTTAGAAATATATCCACGTTTCTGCAAGAAATATTAAATTCGATAATTGTATTATATTTATGTTGATAACAGAAGAGTATTTCAATACTTAATTCTAGTTTCTTGTTACAAAATATCAATATTTAAATATACGATGAGATTTTTTAAATTTTTTCGTTATTACAATTTTTAAGATTAAATATACATATAGCTATGATATAATATTTAATAGTTATATTATTTTTACGATTATTTTATTTATTTTTTGTATAAGTATATATTTGATCCGAAATTAGATGAAATTATCTTTATGTGGAAAAATTACATAACACTGTAGAACATAACATTTTGTCCTAACTATTGTTGAAACACTCAAATACGAGGTAAGATTAAAGAATAATATTTTCGTTAAAATAAAGGAAATTAGGGAATATTGGTATTGCTATAAAACTTATCAAAAACCAGAATTGCTCTTTGAGATTCATAAGCTGCTATTATATCGTATATCTTCTATGCTCTTGCTTCAACGGCACGGTCATGAATGTTTACGCTCGCGTAAACATTTAATGACCCGACTAACTTTCGAATATCTTTTTGGTCGTTATTTTCTTTGAGGGCTTTTATGGTTCCGAGAACGATATTTAGTAGAATTATTAAGATGCTAACTTGTATCTAAGAGCGTTTTTAAATCTTTTCCACAGCTAAAAGCTAGACATTGATGATCAAAATTTCAGTTTCACGCAAACTTTTTATAATTTATGTGAAACAAAACTGAAGTTAGATTTCCTGGTATCAAGAAATCGAGAGTAATTAATTGATACTTCTATCTAAAAGAATATTGTTAAAGTTAGAATTACCAAACTAAACTTAAAATTAGAAAAGTTTTTAAAGTAATAATGAAGTATTTTTATAGAAACCCATGATTATTATGCGCCACCTTACCATAGCTTAAATGTACTATTGTAGTTTAACAAATTTTATTTCCGAACAGGCTACGTATGTATAGGAATTTTCAAACGAAAGAATACTTGATTTCATGAATAAAAAATAGAGAGGTAGATTTTTATTATTTTATGCAACATAAAAAAATATTCGGTGTGACCTAGTTGCTAGAATATCTGGCTCTCATAGTATATTAAATACAACAATAATATTTAGAATTTTATTTACAAAACGAACTTTTAGAACAATAAAAAAATCTACTCACTTTCTTCTTTCACGTCGTGGGGCTGAGGACATTGAAGGGATTCGTACTCCGTTCTGCCGAACGATGCGCTGAAAATGGCAACCCTTTGTCCAGGGTGGCAGACAAGATTGATGACGTCATTCTCGCAGGCAACTTTACTTCTGAACTCGTCTGGAACATAAAGGAACTTTTTAATAAATTCTCCGCTCCACTGTTGCTTTTTATTGTCAAGTTCAACGTAATTACAAGTTCAAAATATGATAAAATACAATTTTGTTGTATGAATATGAATGCTAATATAATTCGAAAATCGTAGTCTCCGAACTTCAAAACTTCTAGGTTTTCGTATCTCAGGTTGACAAAATCTTTTTATTTATTTATTTATTTTTTTTTTTTTTTGTTACACTTTGGTATTTTGTCATTTATCTTAGGTAGTAGAAACATCTTCTTTAGGTTCGCAAATTGTGTCATCGTTTGTAAAAAAAAGAAGTGAAATATACATAATTCTACTTTTTCACTTGCTAGTGGAGGAGAGAATGTAACATTAATATTTTAATACCGTTTCATTCCAAAGAGTTTGTATTATTTCCCTATTATACTTACTTTTCACGAAAGAACATGACATAACTTTATCGTTACATTTTTCGAAACATTTTTTGAAAAATGATGTTTGTTTTTTTTTGGTCATAAATATATTGTCAATGTTTATTGGAAAACTGTCTAACATTTTAAATGTATTCATATTTTTTTATTGCCGTTTAAAATATTCTGCAAAGTTTATTTATACTATGCTGTATCGTGAACAAATTCATAGCTATTTGAGTACTAACTCAAACGGCAACTAGTTTTATGACGTCGAAATCTAGTAAAATCTGGGAACTAAGGTCTATCTATCTATATTCATACAATGTAATGAAATACGTTCGTTTTTATATGTGTTTCATTGACTTTCATCGGTTTATTAACATTCCAATAAAAATGTCTTCGCTATTAAACAGCAAACTATATCTAACTTTTATTTCAATATATTTCACTATATCACTCGATATAAAATACATTGATATCGGAATAAAAATTTCTTCGTTATTAAAAAATAAACCATATTCAATTTTTATTTTAATATGTGTGCGTTTCTATACCATTCAATAAAAATTGACACTGCAATAAAAAAAATTCGCTTGTTCTGACACTCAAAATGTGTTAATTTCATTCTTGACTGATTTTACGAGCTCGCTATATCCTGGCCTGGTCTATACGTGCCCGTTGACAATCGCATAAACAAGTCGGTTTTTGCCAGAGATACGGGTTTCGATAAAACCTGCTTCGTCTCGTTACGGTTCAAATTCCAACGAACCCAACCAGATCAGGTGCTCTACCATAACACGTTTTTGTGGTTGCAATCATAGCGTACTCTGTAGCTTTGCAACCTTATTGGTGTAACGAACACCACATTCCCAGGATTTTCACTTGTTCTTACGCAAGGTCAACGCACTTCTCGTGCATTTTCTTGAATTTTGCGGATGATTACATGAGGGGTTCAATAGACGAGCAAGATAAATATCTACATTTTTTTTTTTAAGAGTCAGGTAAATTTAGAAAATGACGCACAAAATATTTGGATCATTAAGAACTCATAATGATCAAATTAGTAAATTGGAATGTAAAAAATTAATGCATAAAAATGATGATTCTAAATGCTATTTTTTAATATTTCTTTCAGAGTTTGTGATTATTTATGCCATGTACGAAAGTAAGTAATTTTTTAATATTTACGAGATATTAAATGTTAATTACGGAAATATGAATTTGCAAATGCACGTCAACGTATCCTGGTTCTGATCAATCATTTCAATTCAATGTCATAATATGTTAAAGAAAATCAATAAAAATTTACAGAATAACGAAATGAGCAAATATACAAATAACGAAATATAAATTTCAAATTCAATTAGAAATTTGACGTCTGTTGGATAGTAAACTAATTCTACGTTGATAATACTACTTTAAGATAATGCGCTTTATCAATAGTAATCTGGCAAGTTAAGAATCAGATTGATCGAATGATACTATTTATGGTATCGATTATCAAGAATGAAATTCTCACGGAAAGAAATCTCATCCTAGTCATAAATTTCTGTCGACGGAAATACATCGCCTGTGAATCAATTTATAGGTATAATGTTTGGATAATTGGGATTCTAAGGTATTAATTTCAAATGTTATGGTATTGTAATTATACTGACAATGAGAAGTTTCTGGAAGCCATTCTATGGATTGCCAAATTAAATTCATTGGATATTGATTACGACAGAAATGATTATGTTTGCTATAATTAGATTATAATAACACGAGTCACAAATGATTTGTATCAATCTGATTTGCCAATTTTATATTTTACTTTGAAAATCATAAGTGTGATTGTCGTAATGAATAATAGTAGGTGACAGTATAAATTGTTCAGGAGAAAATCGAACAACGGGCAATAAAGAAGATAAACTGCACCCATAATCTGAAGATATGGTGTAGGTACTCGGCATGGATTTCGATAAACTGCGTAATTGAATCGTAAATAAAATGATTATCTTCGATATTTAAACCATGCACTTTGTTTTCCTACATGCAAAAAATTTGTGGCTAATTATGCATTCAAATGTTAACTACTTGTTACGTAGTTTGTGTACAGCCTAATATTATTCATTTATGTGCGCGTATACAACGTGTATTATAAAGATATTTATAAAAATATAATTTAGAGAAAGTTCAAGAAATAATTACAATTCACTCGTATATAAAAGTCAGTATCGAAATCTACGAGAGAAATAATATATTGTAGTTATTTACATTTTACGCGAGAAAAATTACATATCTTTATGTTTTTTATATCATATAATATAACAAAATTCATGGAATGTAACATAATGTGAAGTTATTTTCAAAAGGAATAGCTTTCCATGCTATACATATTTGTATAAAATTCAAATAAAACTTCTTGCTAGAATTATTTTAAACCTTAAATCCCAACAAGAATAAAGACACAACAATTTTCAATAAATAATCGAAACACTTAGTGTAACTCGATGCATATTTTAATTATCTGCCTGAAAGCGTGGTTTCTCCCGAAGTCACGTTTAAAGCGACCTTTAAAAGTACGAATCTCTCGCGCGGGAAACGAACCGCTCTTTTAAAGTCGCCGAGTGCTCTTACACGTCTGAGACAAAGTGTTGTAACCCTACTTCATTGAGCCGTCGATTTACGCCGCCTCTTTTTCGCGGCTTTTCAAACTTTTCAAAGTTTTGTGGTTACAGAAACGCCTCTTCTGGATTTCAAGAAAAATTACGAGAATGCGGAAGGAAAACGACCTCCGGTTCGTTTCCAGCGATTCTTTATTGACGGAAGTGTATGTGAAACGAGCGTAAGAGGCAATTCGGGGAAGGTTCCCAGTGAATGTGGAATATTTGAAAGAAATATTTGGTTAACAGGAGGTGGAATAGACTTGGGTGGAAAGAAGAAATAAGGGTGGGATTGTATATAAATTTTGTAGGAATAAGAAGATTCTTGTTAAGGAGATATGATATTCAATCGTTCTTTCCTTTTTTATTATTATTAAAAAAGAAGGATATCTTAGAAACACGATATTAAATATATTTAGAAAAATTGAGAATCTTTATATCTGATAATTTATGACGATCCGGTTTTTAAACCATTTCTATTTTACGATTACAGTACCATAACAAATTTCATCGCCATTGTAAATATTGTATATCTAAATATTTAAAAATTGACAGCAAATCCGGTTTTTACCATTGATAAAGCTCAAAAGCTCAAAAGCATAGAAAGCTCAAAAATCCAAATTTGTTTACCAGTAATGAAACGTTTTTTAGTCGACACACAGGAAAGACTTAATAATTACACCATCAACCAAACAATTGAAGCCAAACTAAGAACTACAAACCGAACTATTTTCAAGCATCAAACTGATTTTCTGTTCATACTGACGATTGGAAACTTGCAACAAATAGCCTCTTGGACGAGAAAAGGTTACAAAGTAACTCGTCAAGCATGTAACGAGGCTCGTCAAAGGACAAAGTTATACAATGGTTTTTAAAATAAGATAAGAAGACATCGGAACTCCCTTATCGAACTATCTTTCGAGCGAGATATCCAGATTGAAGCTTTAATTGGCAAGAAAAAGACGAAAAAAAGACGTCATACTATAGTTGCAAGACGTAATTCCTTTGAGTACTGGAAGCGACAATAGATTTAGTACAAAGCATTTTTATCAAGCAACTGCCTCTTCGATCGATCCAGTTTTGATGGCATCTAAGGTTTTCGTGTGTGTTGTTACGAACATTTATAGCTATCATCCTCTTTTCAAATCGCCAGAGATCATGTTAACAGAAACAAAATGGAGAATGTGCACACTGTATTTGAAGGGGCGAGTCCAACGTAACTACGATTAATCTCAATAATTATTAATCTCAATAATATCAATAAGGTCAAGTACCAAAAAAATATAGTACCAAATATTTTCGTGTAAAACTACGTTTTTGGGAAAATAGAGTTTGGGCGTTTTTAGTAACGAATAAGCTCATTAAGCAGTGAAATAATACGTAAAAAATATTATCGTACAGTAACAAATTTGAAAATTCAAGGATATAAAAATCCGAAAATTTAGACTTGAAAATTTCTGAGCTTGACAATTTGAAAATAAAATGCTGTATTAAGTCTTAATTGAAAGATATGAAGATAGGGATGGATTTCTATATAAATTTTGTAGAAGTAAAAATACCAAAATACAATTGAAAATACAAAAATACCAAATACAATTGAAATTATATCGTCTTTTTCCAAGAATAATTTCAATTGTATTTGGTTTGATATTTTATTTCTCTCTAATTATTATTAAAGACTATTAAGTAAGTTGTTGTAAGTATTATCACTTATGAAACACCCTGTACAAGAATTAATTGTACCGTTTCAATCAATTATTAAATGATTGTCACAAATGAAGCGTGTGTTAATTTGACAGATACAAATTCACTGGCATTAGCACGAAAGAAAATGAAAGAAAATATACACAATGCAAGCGGTAATTCAAACGTACTGAATCAAGAAGACGGATACACGTTACACGTGTCACATTGTGCGCCAAAACCAAGCGATGCCTCACG